TCTCTCTCTCTCTCTCTCTCTCTCTCTCTCTCTCTGTCTCTCACTCTCTCTTTAAAGAAAAAAAAAAGAAATGCTTTAGCTTTAAAATCATTGTGTAATTATCAAATAAGTAAAACCAATGTACGTGTAAAATAAATGTGTAAGTATCAAGGTAATTCTAAAGGTTTCTATCAGCCAGCACTCTTAGTTGCAGGCAACAGAGCTGATTTTGGTTCATTTATCAGCAAAGAAAGTTATTTCAAAAGATATTTGGGCAAAGTGGCATACTCCTATAATCCCAGCAATTCCAGAGGCTAAGACAGGAGGATCACAAATTCAAGATAAGTGTCAGCAACTTAGCAAGGCCCTAAGCAATTTAGTGAGACCCTGCCTCAAAATAAAAGATAAAATGGGCTGAGGATGTAGCTCAGTGGTAGAGTGCCTGGGTTCAATCCCTAGTACCAGGGGGGAAAAAAGATTTGGAATTAGACTTCATCAAAATTTAAAGTTTCTGTTGATCAAAATTTTCAATTTAATAAATGAAAAGTCAGGACATAGACTGGAGGGCTATATTTACAAAAGATTATCTGACAAAGGGCTCATAACTATATATGTGACTACTATAAATCAATAATAAAAGACCCAGCACCCAATTATCAATGGGCAAAAAGCATGAACAGATACTTCACAAAAGAAAATATACAGACTTCCCCTTTCAGAAAGATGAAGTTGATTCCTTCCATGAAGTACAACTAAAAAACCTGAACGTTAATTGTAAAATAAACATGAGCAATACTCCTCAAATTATTCCATGAAATAGAAAGGTAGGGAACCCTTCCAAATTCATTCTATAAAGCTAAGATCACCTGATACCAAAACCAGACAAGGCATATCAAGGAAAGAAAATTTCAGATCAATATTTCTGATGAACATAAATGCAAAAAAAAATTTTTTTGTGTGTGTGTGTTTGGTGCTGGGCCTTGCACATGCAAGGCAAACATTCTACCAACTAAGCTATCTCCCCAGCCCACAAAAATTATTAGTAAAACACTGGCAAATCACATAGAAAAACATTAAAAAGGTAGTGCACCATAAGTAAATGGGGTTCATCCCAGGTATGCAAGGCTGTTTCAACACACAGAAATCAATAAATGTAATTCATCACATCAATAGACTTAAAGATGAGAATTACATGATCATCTCAATAGATGTAGAAAAAACATTTTGACAAAACTCAGCATCCATTCATGCTCAAAATACTAGAAAATCTAGGGATAGTAGGCCATACCTCAACATTGTAAAAGTTATGTATGCTAAACCCCAGGGGAACATCATTTTCTTTTTTTTTTTTTTTTTGGGGAACATCATTTTCAGTGGAGAAAATTTGAAAGCACTCCCTCTAAAAACTGGAACACGACAAGGATGCCCTCTTTCACCACTCCTATTCGACATAGTCCTTGAAACTAGCCAGAGCAATTACATAAAAGAAATTAAAGGGATGTGAATAGGAAAAGAGCTCAACTATCCCTATTTGCTGATGATATGATTCTATATTTAGAAGGCCCAAAAAACTCCACCAGAAAGCTTCTAGAACTCACAAATGAATTCAGAAAAGTTGCAGTATAAAAATTAACACCCATAAGTCAACTGTGTTCTTATATACAAATGATTAATCAACAGAAAGAGAAATCAGAACTATCCCATTCACAATAGCCTCAAACCCCTCCCCCCCCAAAAAAAAAAGGAGAATCAATCTAACAAAAGTAGTGAAAAATTTCTACAATGAAAACTACAGAACACTAAAGAAAGAGATTGAAGAAGACCCTAGAAGATGGAAAGACCTCCCATGCTCTTGGATAGACATAATTAATATTAATATTATCAAATGGCCATACTAAAAAATATTTAATGCAATTCCTATTAAAATTCCAATAATGTTCTTCATAGAAGTAGAAAAATCAGACATGAAATTCAGTGGAAAAAATAAGAGGCCCAGAACAGCCCAAGTAATCCTTGTCGAGAAAAGCAATACAGGAGGCATCACAATATCAGACCTTAAATTATACTACAGACCTATAGTAACAAAAAACAGCATGACAGTGAAACCAAAACAGACATGTAAACCAATGGACCAGAATAGAAGACACAGAGACAAACCCTCATAAATACAATTATCTCATACTAGACAAAAGCACCATAAACATACATTGGAGAAAAGACAGCCTCTCCCACAAATGGTGCTGGGAAAACTGGAAATCCATATGTAGTAGAATGAAATTGAACCTCTCTCTCTCACCCTGTACAAACTCAACTCAAAGTGGATCAAGGACCTACATATTACTAGAGAGATTGTACTTACTAGAAGAAAAAGTAGGGCCAACTCTCCACCATGTCAGCTTAGGAACCAACTTCTTCAATAAGACTCCTAGAGTGTAAGAAATAAAATCAAGAATCAATAAATGGGATGGTATCAAACTAAAAAGCTTCATCATCACAAAGGAAACAAGAACATAAACAGAGAGCCTACAGAATGGAAGAAAATCTTTACCATCAGCACCTCAGATAGAGCATTAATCTCCATAATATACAAAGAACTCAAAAA